AACTCAGGTGATATATCTAACTCCTGAAACAAGAGTATAATTACTCTAATCCCAAAAAAGTAAGGCAATCTAGAGGATATTAACAACTGGAGATCTATCTCACTTGTAAACAGTGATGCTAAAATCTTCATGAAGATTATAGCCAACTACATCAACCCAATATGTGATCTGCTTATTGGCCTAGCACAACAAGCCTTTATCAGAGGAAGATCCATAACAGACACTGCACTTGATATTTTAACAGTGCTAAGAAACCAGACTGATCAGTCTAAACAAAACTGGCTTCTGCTACTTTGATCAACAAAAAGCATTTGATAGAATTAACCACTCTTATCTGCAAATGGTCCTTGAAAAAATGAGCTTTGATCCAAAATTTACCAGAATCATTAATACTCTTTTCTCAACTCAACAAGTATATATTATAGCAAATAGTAAAATTTCAGAACCCTTTAAAGTGGAATAAGGGTTAGACAAGGAGACCCACTTTCTTTACTGCTATATATAATAGCTTTTAACCCACTTCTAATAGCTTTATAACAAAACATGAGAGGCATCCATATTAGCAACCAAGTCTTCAAACTAGCAGCATATGCAGATGACCTGACAGTGGGAATCAGCTCCACAACTGACTGGGACAACTTCACAAACATTATTAACAAATATAAAAAAGCATCAAATGCCAATATCAACAAACACAAGTCCATTTTGATCCCACTAACAGAAAATGCTTGCAGAACTCAATTAAAAGAAGCAGAACTTCTACAAGTGTATGATGCGGATAAACCCTAACAATTCTGGGATATGAAGCAGATATCATCAGCAGTCTATCCAAAAATATCTGGCAAAAAGTAATAAAAAAAATCAAGAAAAGTATAGATCACCTCTCAATATGCAACCTCTCACTTAAAGGGAAGATCCTGGTAGCCAAGTCATTACTTATCTCCAAAATCTGGTATTTAGCTTACTTGCTACCACCTAGCAGAAAACAACTTAACGAAATCAACACAATTATCTCAAACTGAACCAAAAACAAATCTAAAATGCTTTCTCAATATTCAACTTTTTAACTAAGTCAAGATAAAGGAGAACTAGAGGCCCTAATATTTAAAGACATACTAGATTCTAGGTTGGTCTCAATCTGGATTAAACTTCTCTCAAGTAATCAATTTTGGGCTAAAACAGAAAGAAGCATCATCCAATCAGAAATCTGAAACAAAAGAAATATAACAGTTAATACAGCACTCACTGCACAAAATGTAAAATTAAAAGGATAGCCTGACAGATAGAAACCTTACTTAAAAGCTTAGACCAGAACTAAAGGACAAGTAATGACAATGAACAATTGGCCCTAGCCTCTGGAAGACCTAAAAATAGAACAAGCTACAGCTAAAAACTATTTGATAAAAGCCTGCACAGAGGCTTTACATAAAGAACTACCACCAGCTCCTACTTCAATACTTAGTACAGAAGCTATGCAACAAAAACTAAACATCTGGGTCAAGATGAAATCTATTCAAAACAAGAAAAAGGATATCTTCTGGCAGTTGCTACATAGAGCACTTCCACTAGGGTATCCACTGGATCACATCTCACAGAACCTAGATACCAACTGCCCAAACTGCTCTCATACAACCCAAACCATAGAACACTTTGCAATCAAATATAATATTAGCCAAAGTATATGAGAACAAGAATATAAAATGCTTAAAATTACACAGAAGATCCACAACCAAACTCAATAAAGAAATCTTTCTGGCTACGAATATTAAAAATTCCAAAAAATGCCAGGCAGCAATCTGGGTTCATATTCATATAATCTATGAAATCTGGCTTTGGTATACACAAGCTAAATGGGAAAACAATCTAATCCCAGAAAATATAGCTACTAGTTTATCGAAAATAAGATTACAAAAAGAAATCAAACTTTTACAAAAATTAGTTAGCAAAAAGAGTTGCTCCAAAGCGGAAAAACCTAACAATATTCTAAAATTCATTAATCTCAATTTGTAAATATGTATACTATTTTATAAAAGAATAATTAAATAAAGTATGTTTAGATGTAGTTTTTTTTTTAAAAAAAAAAACACTGGACACCAACGCTCTAAATATCATAGCAGGAGACTTTAATACAAATCTAGACCCCAAGATCAACCATATCAGCCAAGCAGCAATCCAAAATGATAATTCAAAAAAACCAACTTCTAACTCTTTCTGGTTCACTTCTGGAAACACAACCAAAATCAAAATTTTGCTAAGAAACTTTTTTTTTATCTTCGACTCTCCTAACGAGACAAGGACCTCGGGTCCAGGAAACACAAACTTATTACTCTAGACATGGGTAAGCAAACAAACAACAAGAAGGCCAGACTCTCTTCAAGCAGCGACAAAATTTCCAACTTTGCGAAAGTTGAAAAAAAACAAAGAAAATTTTGCAAAACAAGACAACAACTGCAACACCAATAGTAGCAACCTTAAAACAGATACAAGTACACTATTGGATATGAACCCTAATATGCTTGACACAAGCTGGGCCAGTCGAGTTAAAAAAGAACAAGCTAAAGAAGCAACAAAGGCAACAACAAAAAAACTGCCAAGAAACAAGAAACACGTACTGAAAATGTAAACACAACAAATCACAAGTCAGATACAAACACAACAAATCACATGTTAAAGGAAAACAATAAACAAAACAAACTGCACATGCCTAACAAGGACCAATTAGAAGATCCAACTCACAGAGACACAAACACCTCTGAATGGGACTCAAACAAGAGAACCTCCAACCCAGAACCAAAATCTAAACAGTGGTCTAACCTCTTTGCCAAACTTAGAAGAGGGAAAGCAGCTTATACAAAGTCTACTCCCAGACAACAAATCTGCTCCAAAAATGAAAATGCTCTTATTCTGGACATACAAAATCTAAGCAATATCGCTACTAATGATATAATTGCATCGCTTGCTGCTTCTTTAGATGGAGGTAAAAGAACCTTTCTGGAAATCATTTTGAAGAACAAAGAGAAAGTTCAATACTATGTAGCTGAAGGGATCTCTTTATTCAAACAAACCTTCTTTGGATATATTCCTATCAACCTCAATCGCTCTTTCCTTACTATCAAGCTCAAAAACACCCCAATGAGTGATATCACCAATATTAGTGACAGTATTCTACTTGCATTTCAAGATATCAAACAAGTAGCTTCAATCAAACCTCTCCTTTTTGAAGGTACTTAATCTGTACTGATCAATAGCTAGTCATCTTCGAAACTACAGAAGACCCAGATCTGGTTTCACGTATACCAAGAAGTACACATATTGGAAACCACAGAATCTTTA